GAGTTCATATTTTGAACGTTTGAGTTTTAATTTTTGTTTTAGGTTTGCCCACAAATCTGTAGAAGATATAGCTATGGACGAAAAGATGATGTTAAACTAGTCAAATTCTTTGTAATATAATATATATATATTGTAAAATAGGACATGGTAAAAAACAATAGGACTGTTGTCAGGAGACGATGGTCGAACACGACCTGGTGGTGTTCTCGGTGGCAGGTTCGGCGGGTTCGTCGTAGTGCTTGTGCTCGGGTTCCCTGCGGCAGTACACGCACACCAGGACGGCGAACACGCGGAACACGACGCCGGCCAGGCCCAGGCCGACCACCGGCAGCCCGTACGCCGGTGCGCCTTGAACGCACGGCCACTTTGTCTGGCACTCGAGGTCGGCCTCGTTCACGCCGGACGGACAGCTCCGGTGGCCGTCGCACCACAGCGCGGGGCTGATGCGCACGCCTCCAGCTTGGGGCAGCCGTACGCGCACGCCAGGCCCCGGTGCGTGTGCTGGCCCTCGGTCGTAGCCGACCGGTTGCGCTTGGACGTGGCGTACGCGTGCTTTGCGGACTGCTTGGACACTTCCAGCCACTTGAACGCCATTGTGCCGGCGTCCCGGGCCTCGAACTCCACCATGAAGTTGGGGTTCTGCTGATCGTCGGGCACGAAGTCGGTCCACTCGTTCGAGAACATGTACAGCGCGTCGCGGTGGCCGTCGCGCGACTCGGCCGCGCACACGTTGCCGACCAGCCGGACCCGATTATTTTGTATGCAGTAGATAGTAATAACGTCAGTGAAATTGTCTTGCATTTGTCTCGTGCAGAGAGCTTAACTACTCCTTAAAGGTCTGGTATTATTTAAATTAGTAAAATATCGACTAAACATACCTATTTATAACCATATGGTTCAATATCTTATATAGAGGATCGAGTATAGAAGATTCAAATATAAGACTTTGTATACTTAAAGACAAATTGCCAAAGATTCTGAGTATATCCAAAGATGTAAGTATATTAACGAAATAACTATTAAATTATCTAATAAAATGATATTTGTTTTAAGTGTTGTTGCTTGTCTGTGATACTCTTATCGAATGTCCAACATGGAATATTGATTATTTGGTTGTGAGGTTAGGAATGCTAGACATTTTATCCAATCCAAATGCTGTGATGTAAGTCTTATAGATACAAATGTTAAACTATCATTGCTAACATAAACATATTGTAATTGTCTTACTCTTAATTTATTAGGTAGGTACTTAAATACACCTGATGTCGAAAGTGGTATATCATCATTACAATTGGCCATTTATGATAATTCATTAGCTGTTGTCAAAGCATTAATTTTTTTGGATGTTTCTTTGGACCACTTAGATAATGAAGTCAATTCAGTTTTTCATTATGCTGCTAAATCTAGTAGTGATATAATTTTGGTTAAGTCATAAACTAATAAGTGTATTACCACATAAATTAACAGTTTAATAATTTAATAATTTTGTAGGTTTTATCTAAAGTGAGCACAAAATGCTTGAACTATCGTAATATAAATGGATTTACTCCTCTTCACTTGGTGTGTCATGTGGATAAACCAGAATGTGTTAAAGAATTGTTAGTTTGTGGGGCTGATGTAAATATTCCAGCTGGAGTTCCTGTTACTAATGTAACCGAAAATAAATTACCTGGAATTGTCAAAGAATATATTCAGGATAATCATAAAAAATTATTTGTTGAAGTAAGGATAATATATTATTTGTACATTAAAACATTGTGTAAAGATTAACAGACTAAACTTACTTAAAAGTTTTATTTAAGTTTCTTCTTGGTAATACGTACTATAGATTACATTATGTTTACTAAATATTAGACTTTATTCATTATTCATCGTTAAAATATATAATTTTGTCTAAATTTAAATCACACGCACATATTTAAAGGATGATTTTTTAATCAAACATCATTTAATATTTCAAAATTTATTTATATTTTTTACATAATTTCTATTCAAAATAAAACAACATACTTTTAAAAAAATAATATTTTTTATCATTATAATTTTTAATTTTTAAATTTTTTGAATGAAAACATACATTATTAATTTCAGAATCTGAAGCAGAATATTTTTCGGAGTATTTCAATAGGTACATACTAATTTAAATTCGTATGAGATGTTAATGAGTTATAAGTCTAAAGAGTAGATTTTTAGATTCTTTAAAGCTTAAAATATGATGCTAATATGTTCTAAAAAAAATCCTAAAATATTCTTTTAACTCGTAAATATGCAGATAATATGATTTTTTTTTCTAAAATAGTTCAATAAAAACAACAAATAACTTATGCATCATTCCTTTGGTAATAGGTAAAATATTTAAGTATAAAAGTAAAAATAAATTTATTGCTAAAAAATCATTCTTACCACGTTATCAATAATTATCAAATATGATAACCTATAGAAAAATCACGGACTGAGAGTAGGTAACAGAATGATACTATTTTTATAACAAATAAGTAGATAATTCAATGAGTTTTAATTTTTATCATTCTTACATTAATTTATTATTTTTTTTTCTAGAAAAAATTGTTACTGGAAAAAATTAAAAATCGAGAAATTAATAATACATATGATTTTTTATGAACAATAATAGAATATATTCTAAAATATGAAAAATAGGCTAAATATTCTCTAATGTCTAATGTCAAAAATATGCTTTAATATGCAAAATAAATTATGTTTTAAGAACTTTATGATGAATAAATCATCCAAATTTTTTATTGTTGTAAAACTGCTTAAATTCAATAAAAATATGTAAAAATCTAAAGATCCGTTCTCTAAATTGACTAAATTTATAATTTATTACATTTTTTTATGAGCAGAATGCCACTGCATTACTGTGTTACAGGTTTACCTTTAAATATACATCTTATAAAATTAAGATTTAGGATTTCAATTATTATGTATTGAAATTTTTCGAATAATATTCTGCTTCAGAATATGACATTAAACGTATCATTCAAAAAAGTAAAAACTTAAAAACTATAATCATAAAAGGTATTAAAAAATATAAGGTTTTTTTGATGTTGAACAATATTTTGGTAGTGAAAAACATAAGGATGCGTTGAAAAAATGCAAAACTGGAAATAATGAAAAGGTAATTTTCAATGTATGTAAAATATATAAGCATCCAGTAACATATAAGTTTTAGTGAAAATAACTTGACCAAAATATATATGATCATAAATTCGTTTTTAATGTCTAATTTAAATTTATTTTTTAGAGTTGTATAAAATAAAAATGTTTTTCTTGTTGCTTTTTTTGGCTTGCTTAAAATGATTTTTTACGAATTTATTTTGCTACAAAATCCGAGCTCTATGCATAGGTTATTTATTTATCTATATAAAAAAAAAAAAAATCAAAAATTAATTATCACATTATTTTTTTAGTGTTTAAATTTAAAATTCTGCAGACAAATTTCGTAAAATCTTGAAAATTTTAAAATTATTTTGTAGTTAAAAATTCACAAAAATTTTTTATTTATATCTAATTTTTAAACTTGTATATGAGATTTCTCATAAATTTTTCTAGCTATAATAAAAATAAGTTTACCTTAAAGTCACATTCATTTTTTATGAGCACTTGTAGTTAAAGTCTTTACAGTATTATAGACATTAACAGAACATTAAAATAAATTACTTATAGTAATATCAAAAAACTTATCATGAAATATACTTTTGATTTAGGCTGACAGTCTTCACCCAAAATAGTTTTTCGTATATAACGATATATCATGGAAACCAAATTTAATACATCCATTAAAATTACAGTGATCCATTCGACACCTAACATGTAGCAGACTATGTACTATCCCACCTTTATCCATTTGGATCTGACAAAATCCCAGATTTAGAAATTCAATTTTTTTTACCATCGATATGCAATAATTTTAATTTACAAATATTTATGAAAATGCAAGAAAAATTAAATAGAATTCTGTAAATTACAATTTAAAACATATTTAAATTATAATTGATATTATATAAAAAGTATTATTATTTATCTATGAGCCATGTCTCAATAAGACTGTCTCATTATTCATTTTTGTATAATTTATGTTTAACACTAAAATTAAATTGTTAAACATTTAGAACTATAAATAACCAAAAATAAAATAAAAATATTAGGAATATAAAATATTTTATGAAATTTTAATTATTTAATAGGAAAACCTTTGTGAATATAAAAATAACATAAGTCATTTAATACAATTATTTAGGAAGATTAAAATGTAAATAATATATCGAATAATTTATTAAAAATAAATAATATTGTATTTCGAAAATATTAAATAACATTTTTTATTTAGCAAACTAATAATATAATTAATTTGTATGCAATATAATAAGTGTTACTATTTATTAAACTTAATTTCTAATAAGTGAATTATAAGTCACATAACATAACAAAAATATTATAATAAATTATAATAGCATTCAGGTAAATTACAAGTATGTACTGTAAATTGTCGATTGAATATTTATTTTATCATGAGTCATGATAGATATTATATCCATAAACACTGTAAAAAAACACAATTAAAACTGAATAGGCATAAGCTAAATAATTTTACTTTTGAGGTATTAAATTTTTAGACTTAAAAAATAATATATTCAGGATGGATTACAGTTTCTCATTTATCTAATTTAACATTTCAAATTTTATATAATTTAAAAATTGAATAAAATAGGTATAAAATTAAATTTTTTTTTTCATTAAATTTAATTTTACGGTTGAATTTATTTGAAATATGCATAAATATTTATAACTTTTATACAGATCAGAGTTTTAGAGTATACGCAAAAATACATTTTTCAATAATTAAAATAGAAATGTACTTAACGATTAGAACTCTCATAGGTCTGTAAATTGAAAATATTGGTCTAAATATCGACTTTTCGACGATGTTAACATATTATTTATTTTCTCTCTCTGATTTATATGCAATATAAATTTGCGTTTGTCAAAATCATTCTGTTGTTGTTTTAGATGTAATATTTAAGTAAATTTAAGCATAAAACTATACTCAAAGTTATTTAAAGTTCAAGTCAAGAAAATTATTTGTAATTGTGCATTGGCTTTTTTACAATATTTAAATTTTTCTGCGATTGCGGTATATGAACATTTTAAAATCGTAATACCTAAAATACTCTTAACGTGTACAACAATTTAAATATCGAAAACATTCCATGTAAAAACACAAATAATTTTTCTATATTTAAGTTTGATAATACTTTGTTAATTCATTCTAACATTAAAATTTAAAAGTAACCACATAAATTTGGTTCTGCTAAACGTAAATAATATTTTGTACCCGGGTCAGAGAAAGAAAACAAATTATGTACTGATTCATATTTTAAATTTAAACCATGTTACTAAACGTTTTTCAACAAACGCATATGGTTATTGGTTATGCATTTTAAAATTATAATGTAGGTAATCATCCGTTAGACAACTATAGGCTATGGCATATGTTATTAGAATACCATTATAAATTAAGTTATACATAATATAAATAAATATATATGCAGGTCTAAACGAGTGTAAAAAATAAAAACAATATGTATGATTTGTACATAATATATAGACTCAACAAAATATTATTATTTTTTTAACACAATACAATTAAAGTTCACGTTTTAAAAGATAATAAACATTATAAATTTATAACTATTATCCGATAAATTTAAAATATCAAATAGTCAAAAACATAAAAAATATGAACATGTATACAATATACATACCTAATATATAGATAATGTAATAAAAAAAAAATAAAAATATCATTCTGGTAAACACAAAATATTGTTGCCATTTTCGTATCACTTTATACATTAAAATAAGTACAAATTGGCAATTTTTATTTTCAATCATACATCAATACGTTTAAATATTATAATTTATACATTAGGCAATATGAGGAGGATATGTGCATGAAAAAGCATGGGCTAAAAATAAATAAATAAATATCATATTGTTGAGAGGTAAAAAGAATTTCACATCTACAGTCTTTAGACCTGATAGAAAAAATATAATAATGAAGTGGTTTAACTCAACCGCGATTATCATGTACTTGTCAGTCTCTTCAACTTATCAGATTTTTAACAAAAATAGTTATAAGTATATAATTAATAATTAAAAGAAAATTATCATAGTAAAAATATATTATTTTTTAACTATAGTCTTGAGAGTCAAATGTTCGTATATAGTAATATTATTTTATAATATATATAATATATATATATTATTATAATTATTTTAATATAAAATCAAAAGGTCAATTCCACCTCATTTTTAAAATATCACATGCGTAAAAATTTTAATTTTGAAAGACAAGAGAAATTAAAATTTTTTTGAAAAAATTTGTTCATTTACGCGCGATGAGATCATTCTATCCAGAAATAAATTTAGAGCTTTTGAAATACTGCAAACTTATACATAATAATAACACATAATGTATGGCATTTAAGTTTTAAGCGTATTAACATTAAAAGGTGGTTTACATATTATTATAAATAATTAAAAACGAAATATAGGTAAGTATTTTTACATTGTTTTTTCCGAAAAAAAATATACATTTTATAGACTTTAATAGTGAATGTATAACATGTATCTAAATTTTTGTTTGAGTTTTTAACAAAATAACGATGATAAAAATAGGTATTACTCATTTTTACATATAACAAACTATATTTTTATATGTTTCAAAATATTGAGAAAAAACGAGTGAATCCTTATTTAGTTTATCATTACGTTTTTTTTTTTTTTTTTATATATAGTTTTGCCTCCCCCTGATCCTAGATGGTCACACATGGCATAATTATAATTACTATTTAATATACTTTTATACTGCAAATACTCGAAATATACAAATCATCTCTCAATACAGTCAAAACCTTTCTAGAATTTTCAGTCTTTGCACAATTACACATTACATCGAAGTAAAAGTAATAACTGCAAATTTGGGATCATTATACATACCAACATACATACGATGGCCTAAAAAATGTCGAATTAAACACCACCACGAGATTATCTGGGATCAATTCGATTCGAGCGGGCATGACGAAAAATATAAAAGTGTACAAAAACCAGACGAAACAAAATTATGTCACGTCATCGATGAAAGGAAAAATGGAGGATGGGGTAGGAGACTAGAAGATTTTTTTGACGTCGTTTTTATCCCGTAAAAATCTCGCGTACATCATTATCTCATATAATTATATTGATAAATATACGATAAACGAACGGCTAACGATATAGCGTAAACGTCCGAAGTCCGTCGTCATTTATGCGTTCAGAAAATTTTAGAGTGGCCGAGAAACGGGGGAAAAAAAAAAACATTTAGGCACAGAGATTTCTTTTATAGTCGTCTTCTTTTAAATCGTGTTCTTAAGTAGCGGATTCCGGGTCAGGGGCGGACCACCGTCTCTTGTTCCTGCTGTTCTTGTCGTCGTCCGCGGACTGTTGCTGCTGCTGCAGCTGAGCTTTTTGAACGGCCGCCGCCGAATGATGTTGATGGAGATGGTGGAGGTGTTGCTGCTGATGATTGTGGTGCTGTTGCTGTTGCTGTTGTACGGCCGCAGACGCGTTATGCTGCTGCCGTCGTTTTCCGTGCGGTGGCGTTGTCGTGGTCGTGGCCGTTGTCGTTGTCGTCGAGTCCGAGGCCACTGCCGTCGCTCGTTTTGTCAGTGACACGCACACGTCACCCACCTGCAGCCTCTGGCACGTCAACCCGTACTTGGCCAGCGTCTTAGCCGGACTCCACGACGCCCAGCCCCGGCCAAACACGAAGTACGGGTGTTCGGCACTGCTCTCCATTTCCACCTGTTGCGACTTGGACGTCACAGACGCGACGGACGCCGCTGAACTCGTCTTTTTGTTGTCATTGCCAATCTAAAAACGAAAACGTTGATTAATTATAAACGCTCAGCGACAAGAATTTACATATTATTATTATTATTATTATTATTATTACTGTTGCACTATATATATTAAATATAATCATACATATAGTTGGTGAGGCGTGCACTACATATTTATATATATATTTATTAATTATCAGTGGCTCAAACGATCTAGCAGAAAACACGATTTGTTTTCCTTAGCGCAAAATATTTTTTCATGTGAATTGTATGCAAATCCGCACCTACGAGTTTTGACTATTGTTAATGTGCACGCACGTGTATATACATAATAATATGAAAAATATCGACGATATAATATTATATTATTATTATAAACATGTGATGATGCAGTGTGTGTGTGTGTGTGTGTGTGTGTGTGTGTGCGTGTGTGGAAGGGGTGATGGGGAACAATGTGCGACATCAACCACTCCCACGGATGTTTATAATTGTAATTTGTAATGCGGGGCACCACCACCACCGTCACCACCAGAAAGGAATGACGGATGTCATCATGACGGCGGCAACGTATACGCCTCCCCATCATATTGCCTTCATCGTTTCAGTTATCCGTCGGTATACACTGAACACGATGCATCTTGCGAACATTATAATATTGACGCCCCTTGACGACACTGAGACTAGCTATGTATAGTGACTTTATGATATTATATTACTACACGTCGCCGAGTGGCTGGTTGGTATCTACCAATTTATTAGACGGCGGGCCCAGACAGATGAAAAAAATAATAATAAAAACCTATTATGTAAATTTTATAAAAAGAAACGCGAACGCGGCTGGTGAGTGTGCGTGTGTGTGCGTGAGACGAGTATGAATTATGTATGTATGTGTACGCGCGTTTCTTCGTCCTCGAACAAGGTCAACTCTTCGAACAGGATTTGTACTTCTTTTATTTATTTATTATTATTATTTTTTTTTTTTTTTTTTTTTGGCAATAACCATGGGCGTGTATGTGTAATAATAATATGCGTTCGGCCGCCGTCTCTATCGCGCGTCGGTCAGTGGTCGGGAGTGCAACAGGTCAACAAACTCGACGCGCGAGCGAGATGTATAGTCGGAGAGATGGTCGTCGGCGACGGAAAATAGCATTATTCTATCATATTATTATATACGTGACGTGACGTGCGTGTGTGTATTTTTTTTCGTCCGACTGCGTAGACTTCGGGAAAGGCGAGGAGCGGAGTTACCTGCGATCGCGGTGAAGAGGTGATCAATCGGTCGGCGGCAAGGGAATGGACGGGCCGGTGTGACGGTAGTGCGGCGGCGTGACGGGGACGGGAGACCGATATAATAATAATGTTATGAGCCTACTACACCGACTACGTTAGCCTACATAGTAATGACCCTGCCTTGCCTCAAGGACGAAATTCCCCCACTGCCGCGCGCCGTAACCGCCCGGCGATGTTTGCTCGCGCTCGCGCGACGTGCGCTATGAGTACTACGCGTCAAGTTACGCCGGACAAACGCGAATTCGTAGAAGAAAAAAAAAAATAAAAATAAACGCACGCTCCCTGAACACCCCGGTGTCAAGTACGCTTTTCGAAATGTGCACAGTGCACATTTACAACGTCACCGTGCCCACGCCGAACCGGTAACGTCGCGACGGAGCAACGCCAGCGTGGACGCGTACGCCGGCGCGTTACGATTTCGGACGGGCGGCCCTCGCCGCGGGGTTATAATAATACGCTGACGCCCGCCGCTGCCGCGCTGCACATTGCTGTTGTTCTGCCACTCGTTGCAGTTATAGTAATAAATAATAACAATCGTTTCGATGTTTAATGAACGGGTGTACTAATGCGTTCGCGGACAACGTTTGTTTGATGGATATTGTCGCATATCGTTTTGTTTGATTTTATTTTTTTCCTACGATAACGGAGTGTCCAAATAACGTCCCGACACATAGCTCGCGATCCGCGGCATACGATCTTGACGACAATAAAACTGCATTTTTCGAGTTGTACACTTGTAAACGGACATGATGTTATTTTGTGTGACATTTAAATTATGATCAAAAAAAAAAAAAAACAAAACAACTGCAAAACTCGAGTCTTGAAATGTTACACGTAGAGAAATGACACATTTCAACTCCACAGTTCCGAAATCAATATTTGAATTAGGAGACTGAATATAATATATTATGTATCGCACGGCGTTATTAAATTTAGAATAAATAAATATTATTCGGTTTTATTGTGTTTAAAATACGTTTGGCGTTCATTCATATGTACACTAATTGCCAATAAGTAATAATTATTATTGTTATGATAATAATTTATGTAAATTCTATCGTACACATATACATGGTACGTTTATAGTTTTTAATGAAACATACGAAATAAAATTACTTCTAACATTAAGTGCCGACGCACTTTATTGATTTTCATTTATAATAAATAAATAATAATAATCCATATATTATAGAGTTCATAATGCACACACGTTGTACACGACACTACTGTTTGTTATTAGAATGCTTACAAATCAGATTCATTGTATTTGAGCAAAATAGCAGATAGTTGTTTTAAGCATACTCATTTTGTTTAAAAAAATAATTTAAATACGGCTGACTTGAACGTTAATGATAAATTGTTGTTTTAATATAGTACAAAGGATAATTGCATTATGTACGTATTTAACTATTGGTTATTAATATTATATTTAATATTTATAATCAAAGATTTAACGTAGGTAATGTTTAGTTGGTTTGACTTCAAAAACGCGGGTTATGAATCGAAAAAATCTATAAAATCTATATGTAACTTAGAAATAAGCGTTTAATGTTATTTTAATAACCCGGTTTTCTTTATACAACAAAAATAAAAATATTTAGGTATACGAGTATGATATCGAGAAAATGACTTCCGTGAGTGTTAACTTTATTAAAATAGTTTACCAAACAAAAATGTACAGTATATTATCTGTAGATTGGCTATATTTAGTAATAGTAGTAAACATTGTAGCATATTGTATAATAGGTAATAAGTTATAAGTTATAGCTAATAAATGTATGCACTTGTGAGTCGAGAGTCGTGGATTACATTTCGCTGATAAAAATGAATTCGATATGAAGATAGTTAATAAGTTATAATTAACTTTTCAAAACACTTTGTGAAAGAAATGATAATAAAACAAATTATAAGTGATCGTTGGCCACCCAATTATCAGATTTCGATAATCGAAAACTTAAATTTAAAATTACTTGAAAAATTGAACAATGTATCGAAGAGAAACTCGGGATAAAAAAAAAGAAGAACTATACACAAATATGCGCGAGTGAGTGCTGCTGAAAACCGGAAAAATGTTTATAATAATATATGTATTATGTGTAATGTACAATTTTTAAACTGTTTTAAAAGCATATATATATATATATATTTTTTTTTATGAATGACGTGTGACAACAAATGGCCGATTATACAGAAAACGTCAATGCCGAGGTCAATGCGATGAGAAGTGGCGGCGCGGCGCACGACTCTTCCCTATAGTTGGCTCATATTATAGTTTATGATTTTTCAATTTTCCATCAGGTCATTTTTTGTTTTTATTGTTTATTGTTAATCTGATATTTGACGCGGGTTTATCTAAACATTTTTTCCGGTTTGATATTTACAAAATAATTTGTACTTTAGTCCATTTAATTTGGATGGGTCCCGTTCATCATTATTATTCACTGAAACTACGCGTAAATACGTAATGAGCGTTTATAACTTCTGACGTTCTAAATAGAGTCGGTGTACTACAATTACATACTATGTATTATATAATTAAATAGATTTATTGACTATTCTGCATTGTGGCATAGTAAATAATTACTGTACCGAACTCAGATGAACAAAAATATAAACAAAAAAAGTAAAAAAAAAGTAAAAGTAGAAATAATTCACAATCGATAATAATACTAATCAGATTGTTCGTCGATCGTTTCAGGCAGATGTATAATTACTAATACTATTTAGTATTTACTATTATTATTATTGTTATTGTTACTATCTTGTCCTTTCGGTTATCAAGTTAGGGTGTTTCATAGAAAAAAAATACTTTGTTTATTCTAGCTGTTGTAGGTCAACATTAACATATTGATTAACTTATTATTATCTCTTTTTTTATTTCTTAGTTTAAACATCAATAGAGATACGCGTACCGTTATGATTTTTAGTTTATTCAGAAAAATATACTTTAATCATTCAAAAATATGTATTGTGTCATGTACATCATACACATAGTCGTAAAATAAAAATGTAGTAAAACTATTTCACACTTAACGTTCAACTACGATACAATACAGAAAATTATAAGTATTTTCCGAGTTATACTTAAATAGTAAACGTTGTTCACAGCGCCTTAAAACATATTTTATAATTATTAATTATATTATAAAGTTATAATTTTCTTTTTAAAAACGAATTATTTTAAATAGTTAAACATCAAAGTATGCGTCAACCGGCCAACGTGGAGAATGTATATTTGATTAAAAAAAGCACCCGTGGCGGATATAAAAACAATAATAATAATAATAATGACGCAAGCGCCGTAGCGGGTCACTCGGCCACCATTGAGTCATGACTACCGAGCACTGACAGCGACGTCGCGAAAATCACGCGGGTGGTGGGTTACATGAATGAATTCTCCTGCACAATTCATAAGCTCTGTGGGACAAGGTGCGCGTGCGCGCAATCCGCTGTTGCTAGGGATCGTTCGGTCTCGCAGGAAGAACAACAAAGGAAAGTCGCCGAAGCCAAACAAAACTTTCGTAACCGTCACCAATCCACCGAGCGCTATACAGTCTTCTGAGGGAGCTAACGTTTTCGAAGTTTATTCGACTTTTTGGCGCTTAGAGCTGGTTTGTTGACACGTTTTTCCTTAAAGTGAAAATATCAAAAAATAGGCGGGGGGTATCAATACGTATATAATATTATGTCTGCGTACAAATGCTAAATCACATAGTAGCAATAGGTATTTTGTTTATGCGC